GTTATCAAATCAGAATGTATATCATTGAGTCTTGTCATCTTCAGTGTAGTTGCCTATACTGTCAGACTTGATACTATCAATCATATCAGTTTTGAATAAAATCTGCCTCATTTCTGTTATGCTCTTTTTTTGCCATCAGTTGTCTGCTTATCTTCTTCATTCTGTTTTCTGCTCCATTCATTGAGGTCTCTCTGCCACTGTTCCTGGAATCCTAGTACTTTTCTCTCTCTAGCATGCCCTGCAGTATTTTCTGTAGAGTTGGATTGGTGGGTGCGAGTTTCCCAAGTTCCTCTTTGTCTTGGAAGCATCTTGTTTCTCCATGAATTTCTAGAGACAGTTTAGCAGGGTACATCAATCTGGGATGGAGGTTATTTTCTTTCAGGGCTTGGAATATTTTGCTCCAGGCTCTTCTTGACTTGATGGTTTGTGTCGAGAAGTCTGCCATTATTCTGATAGGCCTTCCTTTATAGGTTATCAGTTTTTTGTCTCTAACAGCTTTTAATATTCTGTTCTTATATTGAATTTCTGGGATCTTGATTATTATATGCCTAGGTGTAGCTCTGCTTTGGTTGTAGGTGGCTGGAGTTCTGTATGCCTCATATCAGAATATCATTTCCTTTTCCTATGTTTGGGAAGTTTTCCTTAATTATTTCTGTGAATAACCTTTGTAGTTCCTTTGTTTGTACCCCTGCTTCTTCATTCACATTCTTTATTCTCAAGTTATAGATCCTCTTGTCATCTACTAGCTTTTGTATTGCTACTGCTTATTTCCTTGTTATTTTGAAAAAGTTTTCCCTTTCATAATCCCACATTGCAAAATTGTCCTCCAGTTTGGATAATCTATCCTTAGTTTCTTTCAAGCTGATTTGCCATTTTTCCATAGAGTTTTTAATTTCCTGGTAATCTCTTTGAATCTACTTCATGTATTCTATATTTTTTTATATTCTTCATCAAATGGTTCTCTCCTTTGTTTGAGTTCCTCCCTTGTTCCATGTGTGTCTGCTTGAGGGGTGCTTAGTATCTCTTTTATTAATCTTCTTATATCTTGCTTTGCTTGGCTAAGTATTTCCCTTTTGAACTCATCTATGAGGTCCCAAAAATATCTCTTTATGTCCACTGGTGCCGTGTCTGATATTGCATGTTTGCTGTTCTCATTCTCCTTTATATTTACCTGTCTTGGGTCAATGTTCTCAGAGTTGGGACCTGGGGACTTTTTGTTGTTGCTTTCTCTTCCCATCTTTTTTGCTTCTTCCAGGAGGCCCCAGTTTCTTTCTTTGTTGGTTACAATTCTTCTGAAGCATGCTGGCTAGATGACCCTTCACACTGCAGTGTGCTAGTGAGTTGCAGACAGGGACAGCATATGCTGGCCCCTCCCTTCTGGATCAGTCAAGCTGCTGTGGCCTGCGCTGTATTACTTTGCAGCGCCTCACCTCTGGGTCAGTCAAACTTCTGAGTGTTCACTGGTTAGTGTGGTTAGTGTGTGCCATAGCTGTAGGGACTTGATTTCAGATAACCTATTGAGTCTCAGCCAGGTCACGTGACCCAGGCCTAGCTCACTCCACCATTCCTGTTCCGGAAGGGAATAATTGACTGAAGTCACTGCAGTCCCTTGTACTTGCCAGTCCTGTCCAGAACCAGAATGTCGTCCACTGGAGCCCGCCTATTTATGGAATGGCTCCACTCCCATCACTCACCACAGGTCGATGTAGGCACCCTGCCAACTCAGCTCTCCTTTTGGCTCGCCGAACCCCCCTCCCCCCGAACTCAATGTAACTGCGCCTCCAGTAAGTCAAAGCAGTGGGACCTTGGACTGCTCGGCAAGTCACTACAGGACCTTGGATGTTTGGCAAGTTGCCCGATGCAGTGAACCTTTCAGTGTTCAGTGAACACTGAACTTTTAGCTGTTCCAATAATAGCACTGGGACTGTATGTTTGGTTGGTTCTTTTCATCTTAATTTCTTCTTGGGACAAGAGAATTAATCTCCCGCTGTTTGGGGCTCCTCACTCTGTATTATGTTGAATTCTAAGTTGACTATCTCAGGGAGCCTCTGTAGCCAGTTGTTATCTATCTAGCATCTTTGCTCCTCCTCCCCCTGAGATTAATTCCTAAGTATTTCATTTTTTTGGATGCTAGTGTGAAGGGTGTGGCTTCTCTTATTTCTCTCTCCATAATTTTGTTGTTAGTGTATAGAAATGGTATTGATTTTTGAGCATTGATTTGTATCCAGCTACATTGCTGAATTTATTTATTATATCTAGGAATCTTTCAATGGAGTATTGGGGGTCTTCTATGTAGAGTATCATGTAATCTGCAAATAATGATAATTTAACTTCCTCTTTTCCTATCTTTACCCCTTTTATTTCTTTCTCTTGTCTAATTGCTCTGGCTAGTATTTCCAGTACTATGTTGAATAGAAATGGTGATAAGGGACATCCTTGTCTTGCGCCTGATTTTAAGGTAAAAGCCTTCAGTTTTTGGCCATTTAATATGATACTGGCTGTTGGTTTGTTATAGATGGCCTTTATCATATTGAGGTAAAGACCATCTATTCCAATTTTCTGTAAGGTTCTTATCATTGAGTGTTGGACCTTATCAAAACCTTTTTCTGCATCTATAGAAATGATCATGTGGTTCTTATTTCTGACTTTATTGATATGATGGATTACATTTATTGACTTACATATGTTGAACCATCCCTTCGTTCCTGGGATGAATCCCACTTAGTCATGGTGTATAATCTTGATGATTTACTGCATCCTATTTGCCAATATTTTATTGAGGATTTTTGCATCTGTGTTCCTTAGTGAGATTGGCCTGTAGTTCTCTTTTTTAGTTGGGTCTTTCTCAGGTTTCGGTACAACTCATTTGCTTCCAGGAATGACTTAGGAAGAATTGCTTCCCTTTTGATTTCATTGAAGTTTGAGGAGTGTTGGCATTAAGTCTTCTTTGTATTTCTTGTAAAATTCCTCAGTGAATTGGTCTGGGCCTGGGCTCTTCTTTGTAGATAAGGACTTAATTACATTACATATGGTTCTCTTGATTGCAGTAGAAAAATCAAGGTTGCCTCTGTTTTGCTTCACCTTTCCACAAACCTTAGCTGATTCAGCTGAGAGGAATCCTACCTTGCCTAACCTTTAGAACCTTTGGCCCTGCACAGATGACTTCAGAAAGGGGCAGGGACAAGTGTCCTTGTCATCAAGGGCACTTGACCAAGCAGTAGTTCCCAGGTCACCTATGGTTCTTACCTACAGACAGATGGACTTAACCAAGAAGGCTGCAGCCAAACCCTGGCTCTCTGTTCATTGTGGGCCTTGGCAAATGAAATTGAAAGGGCTTTCTTATCTGTGAAGTAGGCTCTTCACCTGGAGCTTGCAGTGGGAACAATGAACCTGGAAAACTGGAGGGCTGCCAGCTCTGGGTGCTGTGTTCTTGCATGGTTTTGTACAGACAGCACCAGGTACTATGTCTATCTGGGTCCACCTTTGGGGTCCATGTGCTGATATATGTTTGATGCTGTGTGTGCTCTTGCTCCTTGAATTTTGGGTTGACAGGGCATGTTTTTGCCATCATCCAATTCAGGGAAGAAGGCTACAGGTGGGCAGTGACAGGGCAGACACCTTCTGATAGCACTGAGAACGATTGCTGGCCACCAGAACCAAGTGGCTGCCGAGTTATGCTCAGGTTCTGTGACTGGGCTGCATCACTAACCTTTCCTTGTACAAGACCCAGGGCCCTTCTCCTAGGTTTTATCTTTTGGCAGCTATCTTGCCTAGGGCTGGGTGTAGTGCTCCATCTCACCCTTTGACTATTTGATTTGAGTAGAGGCAGCCACTGTTGGTGAGTGGAATGGAGTCCTGGAGCAGCTGTAGCTCCTCTCTCTGATTATTCATTAGATTGCTAGATTATTGGCTGCACATGTTCCTGAAACTACAAAACATAGAGATATCCAGTTTATTCTGGCTTGGTGGAAGATGGAGCACAGATACTCATGTCAAGTCAGCAGGCACAGAGGGGTGTTCTAGTCTAAGGAGCCCCTTGCTCCCTTGAGATATGTGTGGTCAGACAGCTCACGTATGATGGACACAGCATGTGAGACTGCCCTGCCTCTGAAAGTGTTGATGGCTTGCTTGCTGAGGGTCCCTGAGGAAGTGGGGTGATGCCGCTCCTGACTATCTAAAGAGTTCCACCAGAGCTCACTGTTGCAGTGACTGTCTGTTCCTACAGGCAGAGTACCAGCTTCTAACAAGGTTACTACGCCCAGACCCATCCAGGGTGCGAGAGACCACTCAGAGAAGCGGAATATTGATATGAATTCAGCAAACAGCTTGACAGCATTAGACTGGTATATTTCTTATATCATTTTTCTTTTAAAAAGAAGACAGAAATATTGCTACTCCTTTAACTTATGAAAAATGGAAATAATTTTTCTGTGATGAGTGACATTAGTCACTAAAAAAGGTATTACGCATACTTCTACCAAAAACTCTGCAGATGATCAGTACTCTGCGTACCTCCATAAGCATTACCAACAAGTGCCACCAGAGGGCGAAACAACACAAGGGAGAAGGGCCAGAAAGCCCAGGACAGAGTTTTTCTTTTCTGTGAACATTCTTGAACTTGACTGTATTTAAATTAAATTAAAACACTAAAAATGATATAGTAGAGAGCACTCTTAATGGAGAATTAATTGATAACACAATATTGTTTCAATTTTTTTTTTTTTATTTTTTTAACTTAACTGACTGTGTGTATTCCACAGTCTCAGGATGAGAAAGGCTCCAGAGTCAGGTCTAGATCTTCTCAACATTTCATTTTTTGAATCATTTTCTTCTTTACTTTGTGCATTGATATGGGCTTCTCAGTTCAGAAAACAAGGCACTATAACTATTTATCAGCTACATTAATACATTGAAGATATTTTTATCCTTTCATTAAATATACAGCATTTCGTACAATATGGTTTTATGCAGATCAGGTTCAAAACACCCAAGGCACACACTTTGATTTTTTTCTTCCTCTTTTTTTCTTTTCTGTATTTATTTGAAAGGCTCATAGTAAAGTTCCAGAATTGCTATGAACAGAGTTCCAGAGTAGAAGCACTGAACAGTGATTTTTGTAATTTTAAACATAAAACAGTAAAGATCATGAGATGTAGAACCATGTTACAGGGATCATGAAAAAACAAAGCCATGGATACAGTGTGGGTTAAGAGTTGAAGGAATTAGATCCGCTGCAGTCTGAGAACCAGGGCTATATAAATCCTATCCCCCAAAGCAAGGACAGTCCCTTATGCATGCAGCTGTGTGGTCACCCAGCCATGTGCATTTTACTCATGTGTGCACATGATATCTACAGATACAGAAACATTCCAGTTTCACTGCTTATTAAAATATCTCAAATAAAGTTCAAGTAAAAGAAAAAAGCCCTCCATCAGTTGTTTCCCTTTAGTAAGACAAATACTGTACTCAGTAAGAAGGTTTAGAAGAAACCATTGGAAGGAAGTTTGGGGTGGCTAAAGATTAGGAACTATTTGATGGTGAAGTGGTGGCAGGGCAAGGTACAAAGATACAAAAATTAAACATCTTGATGAATGGAAACATAGTGGCTGCTGTTCAGGTGGAGAATGTGCCAAAACAGAAGAAACCATTTAGGAACTACAGATTCTTTTCACTGATGAGGCCAGAGACTTTCAGTGTGTAAAGTACACTTGTTAGGAGTGGTGTTGCATGCCTGTAATCCCAATTACTTGGGAGGCTGAGGCAGAAGGATCACAAGTTCAAGGCCAGCCTTGGTAATTTAGCAAGACCTTGTCTCAAAATAAAAAAGGGGGCTGCGGATGTAGTTCAGCACTTTCTAGTATTGCAAAAGGAAAAACAAAAAGCCACTTCCCTAAAGCAGAAGAGACAATCCATGTGTTCCTGTTTGAGCTCTTTGCCAAAAGTACACAAAATCTTTCTTGTTCCAGACCTTAGTATGTTCCTTTCTTATTAAAACATTGGGTAACATTGACCAGAGAGGCTGCCCAGCTCTGCAACTCCCAAGGCCTTATGGCTAGAAGACAGCTCACTGGGGTATTATGGGCACTTCTTCTCCCAGGAAGGAGAGCTAGGCCTGGCTCAATCTCCAGGGCACCCCTGCTCCCCCCACAAAACAGAAGCAACAGCCAGACCTTGACGCCAGGCTCACAGGAATAGTCACAGAAGCCAGTTTTGATATTTTATACAGTTCTGAAATAATACACACATTTCCGTTCACTGAGAATACATTAAGGAAATGGAACAAGGCAAATGAGCTCTATGAAAGCATTTTCACTCGTAACGAAAGGTATGATCTTGTCAGTTTTATACAGGTAGAGCTGGCTGTGATGTTTTAAACAACCTATGTTAGATCACCAGTTTGGCAACTTTTTGTTGTTTAATTCAGACAGTTTTCACTGTTTGCAATCAGAACTACAACCTTAGTGCAAGAGTATATTTATTATTTTTTTTACAGTAAATTTGGTTGCCATACAAGAGATTTAAGGATTGGGAGAAAGTGCAAATTACAGGAGCTTTTTTTGTTTTCTTGTTTTTTTTAATAAAGTCTAAAAAGAATAAAAGCACAAAAGTAACAGTAACATAGATATGCGAACATGTTACAGAAACTATAGTGTGAAACATATTAGTATTTAAAAAACAAAAACAATTGTTAATGGGAAAAATCAGTGTATGTGGCCCACACACAAAAAAGTCATTGCCAGATCAACTGGATAATGTTTGCTTGTTCAATAACTCAGAAAAATGTTACTGTTTTATTAACTAAAGTACCACAAATAATTCACTTTGTGATATGTAAAATTCAGCAAATCAACAGTCACATTGAGTCATTTTTATATTATATGAATTAACTTAAAATGTGCACAGACGCCCTGGAGAAGGTATCTTGGCAGATATATATAATTTACATCTTGAGAGATTTTGATTTTGTATTCACAATATTACAGAAACTAGGCATGTAAATGCAGTTTGTTTAAATTACAGTATATAACAAAAGTTGATCTTAAAACCTGGAGTAATATTAACAAGATCATTATATGAGCAGTTTAACATTTGTTCCACCATTAAAGAGGGTGCTGGGATAGGGCCTGGTCCTGACATGTCCAGAGGGAGAACAGTGGGCGGTGATTTGAACGGGGAATATTGCTCTCTGTAGCAAAACCATCCGATAGAGCCACAGTAGACTCATTTCAGCAACACCTGTGTTTTGTTGGTCAGTGCAGGTTCTGATACATCCTTCGACTATTCTGTGACAAAACAGTGTAAAGGTTCTGTCAGCTCTGGAGGCTTTCAGTCAACTTGCTTCTGGTTAGTGGCGTGTGGCTTAAAGTTTAAGAAAGGGGTGGTAGCTGCTGTCACTGGCTGGCTGCCTGAGTCAGTAGACCCAAAGCCACCAGGTCTCCTGTCTAGCATTCGGCCTGGCACTGTGTGTAGAGGTAATGCCAACTGTAGGCAAAGGAAAAGAGCCTGATGAAGTGGTATACTTAGAAATTTTGCAAAAATCACCAAATGGAAGACGAATTAATGGCAGAACCACTATTTTTACATTCTCTGAAATACAGCTGCTTGTGGTACCTTTTTCTAGATTAGTACTGATTTATCTCATTATGGGAAACAGAAAGTATGTGATGTAAAGCACTTAAACATTCAATTACTTCCACTGGATTGGGTCATTCAGATACAAAGATTGACCTGCAAATGGTTTTGGAAGAGTCATGGTCCAAAGACTGGTTTTCCAAATCAAGGATGTGTGTGTGTGTGTGTGGGTTGTGTGTTTTGGTTTCATTTTTGGAGAAACTGCTGCATTTGAAATGTAATAACTTTTGAAGAAATAATTGTCTTTCAATGAAGAAGTTCTAGCAAAGATAGAAAATATAACACAGCTCTGCTGGTTCAGATGCATCCAGATAAGGTGATTTAAAAAGGTCATACTTGTATAATTATTCCACAGAAATAGTATCATTAAATCACAAAAGTTTTTTTTTTTTTCTGTAACTTTCTAGCACTGAAGTGGCACAAAGGCTGCCTAGTAGACCAGCCACTTTTTTTTCTTAAAATATTGTGCTTATAAACTATCTGTACACCTATTTAAACTTGCAGTAAAGAAAGATTTTAAATTGCTAAATTTTATGTGTTCATTCTAGAGTTGTTTCAGACCTCATCAGACACATGGTCGTGAGCATAAAGAAAAAAAGGAAAAAAATGTTTTATAATTAGAGATGGGCTGGGCTAGTTCTGAAATCATAATGAAACCACACACCTGACATTTGCATTTTCTCCATACATGGGAGAAGGTGCGGGAAGCCTGACTTGATGTTTTGCAGCCTGTGTGCAACTGGTGACCTCCCTTGGACATCAGAGGTATTGTTTCTGGAAGGAGGGACTTGGGGACAATACAGGCTCAGAAACCTGGGCCTTAGGCAGGGCCATTGTCCAGAGCTGCTCCCTGCCTTGTTTCTGTTCTCATCCATGTGTCACCTGCATCCTGCAGCCCACCTTCTGTTCTCTACCCTGGGTCCTGTCTGTATTCCCTGCCCATGGGGTCCTCTAAGACCCCGTTGTACTTTTAAGACAAGCTGGTGGGATTCCCGGATACCCGGAAAGAAGGGGGAGAAACCCCTAAGTACCACCTTCTCTGGTGAGCAAAAGGGCCATTTTGGCAGAGATGCTTACCCTCAGCTGGGTTCAGACTGAGGTCACAGAGCCCCACCAACTCCTGGTGAAAACATCAGTCCACCTGTGGCAGCATATGCTCACCATGACCACATTTTCTTCTTGTCCTTTATGTTGGAGTGGATGCTCACCTGCTCTGATCTCTGCAGAGCTCAAAGGCTTTTACTTAAAAAGAATCCTGAGAGGCAGAGGACCCCTCTCCATCCTGGGTAGATGCTTCTGGCAGTAGCTGCTCTTGTCTTAGAAGAGGCCCCGGGCCTACGAAGCTACACAATGGCTGGTTCCCATGGCAGGGCTCCCCTCCTTGGGATCATGACCTTGTGCTTTGACTAACTCCATGTGACAATTTGTTTGGCCACCTTGGAATTATGCTAATATATTTGCAGAAAGAAAGAAAGAAAGCTAAGCAAAGCTGGGCATGATCCCATTTCAAACACCCACCGCTGCCAAGAACTTCATGGATAAGAACCATGGGTGCACAACACAGGAGGAGATGGGATAAGTGATCCAGCCAGCAAAAACCATTCTCTACCTTTCAGGCCCAGGAAGGGCACTGGATAAGCCTGTCTGGGAGCATCTCACTGTAAGCAAGTACAGGGAAAAGATAGGAGCAAATGGGCACTGAACATCTTCCAAGAGGCCACAGGATGGAGGAAAGGCTTGTGTTGGGACCTGCATGGTGAGAGCTGCCCAGAAAGCAGAGCAGGGAGGTCTCAGGAGGTATCTGGAGTACATTGATGTCTGCCTACAAGAGCAAGGATCCCCTGTGAAATTGATGGGAGCCTCTTGGGCCCAGCAAAGCGAGGTCACCTGCATGCTGGGAATCTGTATCCATGTTAGAAAATCCCCCTCCCCATTCCCTGTTGGACAGAAGCCACCCAAGAAACCCCTGTAGAAAGCTGGGGTTCTAAGGCATTGGCTCAGCCACACTGTGGATGCTTTCAGTATTTCTTTGGGTACATGGAGACAAACCCGAGGAGCGGGGTTGGTGCTCACAGACTTTTTCCTCTGCTCGGCCAACAGATATTTCAGCATAAGCCCATCTCTACTTATAACAAGAAGTCTATAAAGGGAAGGAGCAGCCGTCCTTATCTGTCTAGGAGCTGTTTCAAAGCCCTTTCTATGTTCATTCTGTGCCCAACTCGAGTCACCCCCAGATCTATCAGGTCTTCCTTCTGAAGGTTTGGTAAGTGACTGCCATCGATCTCATTGTCCATGAAGGTCTCTTTGTGTTCACCCAAGTTCAGACTTTCCAGCCAATCTGCCACATCTGGTTTAGTCCATAGGTGGACAGGTTTAGTTGTAAAAGGCTTATTTGAGATTGGCTGTTGCAGTATTGAGGGAGATGGCGACCTGCTGCGACCTGCTGGGTTCAAGCCAAATAGGTCCCCAGCAGGGGACTGGCTTGGAAGGCTAAAGACATCTGAGAGTGTGGGAGAAGGAGATGCAGCAGCAGCAGACAGAGGGGTGGGCAGGATCTCTTTGTTCATCTCTGTTGGTGAGACCACAGGGCTTGGGGCACGTCTTGTTCCTGAGGTCCTACTTTCATAGTCAGGGGGCCGGCTCTGCAGGGTGATGGGCTGGGATGTGCCAGGGCGGACAGTGAATGTGACCGTCGTGCTCCGTGTACCTGAGACGGTGCTCATGACCTCCAGGCTTCTGAAACGGTAACAACAGAGAAAACTATCACAAGCCAGCTCGACAGGGAGGATAGGGCCCAAGCCACACCATAGCATCTAGTAGCAGATCACTGGCAATGAGCAAGTGATTTGCCATGCCAGGATAGGGTGGGAGGAGCAGAGGCAGAGTCCTCAGGAGACACCACAGCACACCACGCCAGCCACTCACCTGAGCCTGGGATGAAGGAGCTGGGAGAGCTTGTCTGTGCTTGCATAGGGAGACTAGGGGTGTCTCACTCAAAGAGGGCATTGGGATAGCCAGCCCCTGGTGGAACGTGCTCAAGGATGTCCCTCATCTCTTTCAAAATGACATGCCTTTATTAAACAGGTAGAGGAAGCACACCCTTGTGAAGGGATCCTCTGAGCTGCCCTTAGCTGCCTGGCTGTACTTGGCTTGTTGCCTTGAAGTCCGTGGTTTTGGAAGAAGAATGCATCTGAATCTGCTATGACGGCAGCCAGGGTTGGAGGAAGCTCTCTCCAGACCCAAAGGACAGGAATAGTTTGTTACAGTGTGTCCTGAACTAACCTCAGGGGAGAAATCTGCTTCCCAAGTGGTCCTGCCTGATACTGATAGGCCTGCCTCACAGAAGCATAAATTGATGTACTGATATGTCTCCCACTTTTGAGTAGAGACTCAGAAGGAGAATGTGCAGTCCCTGCTGAAAGCAGAGGTCTGAAGGGAATCGCAGGCCCCAGCCCTGCCTTCTTCACCAGCATAGGCAGGTGCAGCTGTTGGGTTGGAAGACAGGTTCTGCTCTCCTGAGTGCCCCTTCTACTAGCTTTGGGATGGGAATGCCCCTTTGGAACATACATGACACGTGGTGCTGTGGAAGTGCTATTCACACTTGCCTACATGGAGATGGTCTCTTCATGAAATGCCCTTCACTGGCTTGGGCCCAGCCCTGGCAGGTGTTCTGGTCACACCTAGAGAGGACAAGCATCTCTCTGGACCCTGGCTTTTGCTCTTATCCTCAAGTTGCAAACATAGTTATTCTGCTGCCCCTGTGGCCAGAGCCTGAAAGCACATGTGTTTTTCTCACCTTCTAGGCTCACTCACATGAATGTGGATGCTTACCTCACCCCCTTCTGGAAAAATAGGACCTACACAGGCCCTTTACGGTCTGGATTGAGAGATTCTAACTCAAATTCTGGCTGTCAAATACTGGCTTAGCATACGAGTCTGTGTCTGCCTATGTAAATCTAGGCCCGTTCCTACTTAGGAAACTGAGGGAAAATGAAGACCCTTGAGTCCATCTCAGACCTGCAGAGACAGGACCATGGAGTGGGGCAGTGTCTGCAGTGAAACAGACTCCCCCAAACACTGTAAAGGTGCTAGGCCATAGAAACCACTTGTGTGGGTCTTGGTATTCTTCAGGGCCTGCCAAATGCTAACAGGTCAGAGCCTACATGGAGCAGAAATGAGGGAAGGGAGTGGGCCATGCACAGTCAGTCTCTGGTCTCTGTGTGTTTCCTTAGGCTGTGTGTTTGGGTGAAACCATGAGCTTGTCATCCAGGTCCTTCCTGAGCCCTGTGGCACTTCTCCACTTGACAAGTCATGGTGGGAATACACTTCAACTATGGCCCATTCCAGGGTCAGAATGGAGGTGCATACCTGAAAAAGGCATGGAGTTGTGGGCTTGAGCATCAGTCCTGTTGGGAGAAGGGGTTGGGGGCTGACAAGGCGTGCACTCTGGGCTAGGGATGTCTGGGTGGGTAGCCAGAGTGTTCACGGGCTGCTTCCTGGAGGTTGAGAGCCCTATGTGCAGCCCTGTGTAGAGCCTTTGCCCCTGGCCCTTCAGACTTGCCAGCCAGCTGGACTAGTGTAGAGGCTATGCTGGCAGGTAGGGGAGGGAGCCCCAGGAAGGCTGGAGGCACTTTGAATGAAGGCTAGGGAGCCTGCTGACTTTGCAGACAGTAAAGCACTGCACCATGAGATTCTGTGTTTAAGTTCATGAGAGGTGGTGGGCTGAGGACATAGTAAGGATCTAAGGAACCTGTAAGGTCCCTCTGTGGTGCTGCTCAGATACAGTGGTAGCTGGCTGTAGGTCTGGCCCAAACAGGTGCTGCAGCAAGCTAGCCTGGCTCCACCCCTGCATGGTGGCAGATGTGACATCTGTTTGAGGGGCCCATAGTTTCCACTTTGTAGGACAGGTCAGTTAGGATGGTTGAAATACCTGTAAGTATGAAACACCATCTAAACAGAGGTGATCTGGGGTGCTGATCACACCAAGGACTTTTGGGGAAAGAGATTTTTTTTTTTTTTTTTTTGAGATAGAGTCTTGCTTTGTAGTTCATGGTAGTCTTGAACTCACAATGATCCTCATGCCTCAACCTCCCAAGTGCTGGGATTACAGGTGTGTGCCACCATTCCTAGAGGGGTAGGAAAACATCCTCCAAGAACACATTTGTTCAGGTAAGATGGGGTAGAGTTCAGGTTGCTATGAATGTGCTTTCTCTGAAGCTACCTTGCATGGTAACTTGTGCCACGACTTTAATGCTGGGACTTACTGTGCCATCCTTTTGGAAAGCCATCTTTTGCTTATCAAGCTCATGAAACAGGACAATTAATACCTGAAGGGGCAGCAGCTACTGTGGCCTGGGTAGTGCTACAACTGTGAGTGGTTGGGTCTGTTTTTGGCAAGGAAGGACTGTATAGGCAGCTGTGTCCATCAGGAGGTAGAAAGGAGGCTCCTGACACATGAATGGGTAGCAGGAGCAAGGGACAGTGGCACACAGGAGACCACACACATCTCTGCTGGTGGCACTTACTTCTTTTCAGCACGACCCTCTTCTGTAAACACCCATCATGGAGCAAATGGAAATGACAAATTGAATGATTAAGATGACACTGAAGAATTAAGAGGAAGAAAAGCAGCTTCCTTTGAGGATGAAAGGAGTGCAGAGGTATAGACGTGGCTGAGATTCTGTATGAGCCAGTCTCTCCTGACACAGGTTCTGGGCAGTTTGATGCCTAAGCAGCCCAGAACTCCAATTGGAAATTAATATAAGTGTTACTTTCACAGTTAGCAGGGGCACTTGACAGCTTTGTCATCTTTAACTTGGGACAATGTCAAATACTTCAGAAGGACAAGAGTAGTGGCACTGAAAGGGTGCTGGCATCGGCTTGAAGGAAGACAACCAGCTTCCTGCTAATTTCCCAAATTGGGTTCTGGGGTGGTTTTTTCCTTCCACAACTCAGGAAGGATAAATCAACACTCCTAGTGGGGCAGGCTGTTCTACTGGGACCAGGGCTTCAAGTCTGTGCAAGGAGATGACAGGGCAGCAGCTGATGGCAAGGGTGTTAGACCTGACCACATGCTTAGGGCCTGCCAGTCCTCCACCCAGCATGGCTACAGAGGAGTATGACCAGAGTTAGAGCACAGTGAAGGGCTGGCTGACTGGCTCACCCTGTGTCTTCTCAGTAGCTGATTCCCTTTCGGTTAATCACACTGATATGATTCACTGGATCCTCCCTCGTGCACAGATCATTATGTTGCTAAGCAACCACTTGGTTGCTGGGCGGAACATGCAGGAATCTATTATCCTGATTTAGAACAGACACACATACTTGCACACACACACCCCCTCTCTTGGATGATCACTCTGTAGCCTTTAAAATCAAACCCATATTGAATATTAAAGAAAAAACCAGCCCAAGAGGGATCAAGAGCTCCGGACACATTGGAGTTTCATCAGGAAGGACAAGTGGTGGTGGTGGGGATATGCAAGCAGCCTTCCCTCTGTTTACAAATTTAGGTTGGCTCAGAAGCAGTGATGCGGACCAGAGACTGTTCAGAGTTGAGAAGGCTCTGCATGCTTCTCTTGTCCTTCTTAGGCCCAGGACTGGAGCTGGGGTTCCAGGCCTTTCAGTTTGGATTCTTCCCTGTACTCAGGCACTCCTCTGTGCTTCAGTTACCATTGGACTTTAGTGACAACCACATTGTGCATGGTGCTTACTTTTAAGTTACTCTACTTTTATAGTCTCCCTAAGTGGGGAGACAACTGAGAGCATCAAGTCATTAACACCTGCTGCAGGGCTGACTAGCATCAGCGCCTCTCCCCTTCCCTCTCTATCTCTCCGACTCAGCAGCTGGGACCCCTCAGAGCACCTGTATTACATTGCACAGTTACACTCAGGTTCTGAAACCCATGAGCGGCCTGCTCTGTGTCCTCAGTCTGGCCAAGAATAGGGTACATTAATTAACTGTTGAAGAAATAGTTTATGGAGACTCTGCTTACTTCCTGGGTCACAAAGTAGAATGACTTGACCAAAGTCAAATCTGGGAGGGGACTGCCATTTGCAGAGGGACCTAGTCTGTCTGCTAGGCACTCAAACTCAGCAGATGGAGGTGGCAGCCAACTTTCATGGAGAAATGATCACCTGTGGTTCTTTCTGGGTAGCCTCCCACTTCAAATGTGAAGTGAATGAGACTTGAACCTGCTATTTGATGACTAAGGGAATACTGCCAGACCAGAGACTTTCCAGCACCATCTCCAAGAAGCAAAACATTAGCAGCAAATTCCAGGGCCTCTCATTGGTATCACCTACCACTTTCCCATCAGTTGGTGCAGGACACGCAAAGTGCCTTGGTGTGGCTGGGTAATGAAAATACCATCAAACAGTTCTGTTGTCTTGGCAGTTTAGGAGTCTGCTCTTGGAATAGCTGTACAGACATAATCTTTAAAAGCCCACATTCATTTTAAAATGGAGAGGTTCTCAGGACAATATTATGGGAGGTAGTAGAGAGCTGGGGCACTGGCAGGGGAAGCAAATGGGGTGTGTCGAGGTAGAGTACCTCCTTACAAGCAGGCTGTGTACTCTAGACAGCTGAAAACCTGGCCGCTCTGGGACCTGCACTTTGAGACAGTTCTTCCCAGTACCATCTAAGCCTCAGCCAGGAGGCAGCTAACCCTGAGGCTCTTCTGGACTTCCACTGAGAGCTGGCTATCCAGAAGGCACCCGGCATGTGCCATCCTCTCTGTTGGAAGCTTCAGGGTCCCCACAAGCATACACTCACTGCTGTATTCCTTCCACAGACTCAGTGAAAGCAAAGTTGACCTTTTCCCTGGCAGTATCATTGAAAAACACCAGATTTGTCTGGCTTTAAAATTATATCTGGTATTTGTCAATTACACCTCAGGAAGACTGGGGAAAGATGTTATCTGGATCTCTCAGGTCATAGGCAGTTTGCTTAGGGTCAGCACCTGTCAGACAGGCAGCCTGGACAGTGGTCTCCTGGGTTCCTTGAGCACTTCTCCTTGGTACCTACCTGCTTGTCTCAGGAGCATGGGCCCCTTGTCTCAAACCTGGATTCCTAGAGTAGCCTTCTTGTGTTGTCAGGTGATACCCTGACCACACATGAGCCTCAGTAATCTTTAGGAAGCAAAAGTATGGTCATGCCAAGCCACAGCAAGCCCTCTCATGGCTGTCATTTCTCGGAATTTGATCCCATTTTCCCCGTGACCCCATGTCCGTCACTCTTTGTGGCTTGGCCCCACCCTGCCACCTGGCCCAGGCTCCTCAGCATAGAAGGCATCTTTGGCTAAGGCGTGGGTACTTGGTTCTCTGCACAGCTCACTCTTTTGGGTATATCACTTCGCAGACTGCCAGCTCCTCTCCTTATCAGATCACTAACCTGTTAGAACATCTTAGTTCCCTGACAACATTTGTCACATTTGGGTTTGTCTTGTGTGGTATTACTGTCCATTTTCCCTTTAGAGAGTTTACACTCCCAAGGGAAGCAGCATCTGAATGTTTTCTTGATCAGTGGCACATAAAGGACAGCCAGGAACTGTTGATGAAGACTGATGACCAGATCTGTTGCCCAGCTTTGGAGAGTCCTGACATCCTCTTTAGTGCATTTGTCTCCACCACAGGCACAGTATCAGGTTCATACAAAACAGTAGCTTGCTAAACTCCTGACCAGTGAACTCAGAAGACCATGACCTTTTCCCTGGCAGTCCCCTCCATGGTCTGTAGTTGGGTATTTTGTATGTCCCCAGAGATATGACTTTAACCAAAGCATCGGGCATTCTGCTCCTTGATCCACAAAATGGCAAAGATTCCGCTCATGTCTAATCTCCAGTGTTATGAAGGAAGATGAAATACATCAATAGATTGCAGAAGGTCTTTGAAAGTAAAAAGCGTGGCATAAATGAAGCACATTTGATAATTGTTGGTGATGCTTTTGTATGTGCAGTTGTAGTGTGAGCACATAAAGAGCTTTGGCTGGGTTGAGAGTCATTCACTGGGCTTTGAGGTTCCACAGGAAGCGCTGCTGAGCACCATGCTGCATACTGGGGCCCAACCAGACGTACTAATGGGTGGGGAACCCCATGAGTTAGCAACCGCTGCCTTGGTTCTGTCAGAGAGAAGCAGCGATTTCTGCAGAAAATCCGCACTCCCCCACCCTTAAACCACAGGTTCTTTGCTTTGCTTTGATTTGGGATCCCAGAGATGGGATTACTTCCTGGCATAATCAGGCTGGGTGCCTCAGAATGGCCTGGTGGTTCTTGGCAGGTCAAGCCCAGTACTATGTATATAAGAAAATTATTTGACTGTCTTCCTTTTGACAGTATATATTTAATCAAGACATTTTCAAATCTCACCACATCCCTGCTTTGAGAAACAGCTCTAAGAAGCAAAAATTCAGATCAAACATGCCCAAGAAACCAGGGATGTAGGAGTTAACTTTTTCCTTTTCTTCTATACCCCTGAGAAAGAACAGTCTCATCCCAGCATTTGAGGAAAGCGTATCAGTGATAGTCCCTCTAAAGCAGTGGTGGCAAACCTATGGGACATGAGCCATAGCCAGCTATTATCATTGAAAGCTCTAAAAGATTTTCCATCACTGCTCTGAAGGGTCAAGTTCAGCCTAGGCTAGTCATGGCACGTGTGCTGCAGCTAACTCTGTTACTATTGAAAGCTCTAAAAGGTTCATCATCATTGTGGAAAATGACAGGATCAATCATCCCTTTCTTGGTGATTGAAACTTGTTTCTATGGAAATGGGGTTTTTGCAACACTGCTTGTGTGTCATTTTAGAAAGCATGGCTGGTTTTCAATTTTTCCTAGAAAAACTTCTTCCTCTGTAGGAATTCCCTCCATCCAATTTTGAGCCTCATTTTGGTTCAGGGTAATTAACAACTCTGAATTTTTAGTTGCATTTAAAGAGACACCGAGGCTGAGTGCACCCCAGAGTGGCTGATCATGAGCTTGGTAGGAGGGCAGGAAGAGAAGCTTTCCCCAAGACATCTTGTGAGCAAGTTGAGTGCTGTCTGTTGTTGCTATACACAGGCATCTGGGGCAAGATGGGCCTCATGGTGGCTCTACAGACCACCACCCCAACTGTCTCCCGACTGTAGCTCACATTCCCAAATGCTATGCCCCCAACCCTAGTGGGATTGTTAGAGCAGAACAGGAGGGTCAGAGTTGTGTGCTTGCTTTAGTGCCCCAAGTCACTGACATTCATCTCTGCCTTCTGACCTTAGGGCCATCCTATTCCTTGTCTGAGCACAATCAGGAAAGACTGGATATGGCTCTGGTTGCTCTGCAGTACTGATGACATCTAGGGACTGCACTTGCCTATTATCAGCCATAAGAAATTCCCAGGCCCATCCTGCCAGCAGTCTCAGCCTTGCACATAGTCATCAGACAGTTGATCCTTCCTTCAAGGTAAACCCTAGCTCCAGCCAGATGACAGAAGTCAAGCTCTGAGCCAGGTTCCCAGGTGGGTGGTTCATTAGGCCTATACCTTATGGCTAAGCAGCACTGGCTCCTTTGCCTCATTGCTCTGACCTTGAATTTCCTTGACTGTGCAGTGGGAATAATTGTAGGCCCTGCTGATTCTGCAGGTGGAAACTGGTGCCCAGCACATGGCAGATGTATTGTAGGTGTTAGTTAATGTTCTCATTGTGAGTGACTAAGCTGAGAGGCAGCCATTCTTGGCCATGGAGTAAGGGCTTCAGGTGATCACACAGCTGCTGTCTTGAGGAAGTCTACCTAGGCTGTTTGAGGCTCCCTGCCTATGTCCACCTAGGGAAGTGCCAGGACAAAGGCCCCAGAGACACATGCAAGGTAGAATGCCATTCTGCTCTGAGCAGCTCAGAAGTGACTAAAAGAGGCGGACTTTCCACCTGCTGTTCAGGCAGGCCCTGGGGGATGAAGCCTCTGGATTCGCTGAATAGATGTGCCCAGGAGAAATTGGCTTGGGGAGGCTCCCTGCCAAGCTTGAACAGTGGTGAATTCTTTTCTCTAAGCCTGAAGTTGTGCTCTCTCTATCCCCCAGACAGTGCTAATAAAGGGAGGCAAGAATTGAGAAACTTTGGCCTGAGCCCTGTCTCTGGTGGCTGCTGGCTGTGCACATGGGTGGGCCATGCAGCCTCTCTAGAACTCTGGGCTCCTGTCCTCATGTCATAAGCATTATCCGCAGGAGATAGTGTGAAACACTCAGATGAGGCTTTCCCTGTCTTTCCACATATACAGTGACATTGTAAAAAAACTATACTGTTACATAATGGGAAGAGGCAGAATTATTAATTTTTAAAATTTCCTTGAGACTTCTAAATATACAGTAAGTAAAAATATATGTGTACATACGCATCCACCAGAAATGTGGAGTTTCTAATACATTTTCCTCAGCCAGTAGAGGAACATGCTGAGCATGTGAGGAATTTCTCTCCACTCAGCAGTGTGGAATGTGACTGGTAGTCAGGAAGCCCCAGTAATAGGCAGTGGCATCAACATACGTTTCTACCACGCAGCCAATTGATAATTCCTCTGAAGAGTAATGGGAGCCATCCAAGTAATTTATTTACATCCACACTAAAAGGTAACTGGGAAAATTGTGGCTCTCAGCCCACATCTCAAGACCCAACTGCAGTGTGATATCACTGATTAATGGACTTAGTTGTTGGAATCAGATGTCTGCCCAGCAGGGAGAATGAAGAAAGACTTCATTAGTCAAAATGATGAAACCTGAGACCAAACATCAGTAGGAAAAGCTAAAGAACACCCTGCCTGGGAATAGCAAGACAGCACATCGTGGGAAAGAGAGAAAACCAAGAACCATGAGCGATGGTGTGAGCCAATGGGGCTGTGGTGAGCATCATCCAAAACCAACACATGAGTGAGCGGCCATTCTAGAGTACAGCATATGTACATAGACGCTTCTGTTTGGAGTTTAGAAAGGACTTCTCACCCTCTTTCAGTCCCAGTGGAAATAACTGAAACCCCAAGGATGCTGTAAATGGTTAGCTGAGACAACCAGAGGTTTTCCTCCATGATGTCTGCCTCAGGGTAGGATGGCCTGGCATGTGCTTCACTCTGAATTCACCAGGAAAGCTGGGATCCAGGGCATTCCCAACTCTCAGGCTCTATACCAAGGGTGATAGGGTGAGGGGAACCCAGCTACATTCTCACGCCCTATCCCCTGTCCCCTGGCACGGCTGTTTCCTCAAAGTGTGGTTTGGGCTTTGGTAAGGTTCAACCCAGCCTCAGTGTGGTTCTGGCAAAGGTCTGAAGATGCCAAGAAGAGAGATGAGCCCTTTGAAGGCTGTGGAGTGGCTGTGTGTGACCTCTTTCATTGTGTATCTTAGGGAGGGAGCAACATGTCCTGCCAGGACTGCCTTGACTGTTGTCCAGGATGGCGCAGGAAACGTGATTATGCCTGATGGAGGGGGCAGCATCAAGGTGTTGCAAAACCCCTATATGCGGCTGCTTGGTTACTCCCCAGTGACTCTTCTTGATCAGCACGTGAACAGTATGCACCCAAGCCAACTGCAGACTTACCTGGGAGGGAGGCTGGCAGACTTGGCTCCTGCCGGTGAATCCAGTCCTTCCCCTGGCTTTGCCGATTTCTCTCGGTTCATTTGTTGTAGGATTGAGTTCAATTCACTAATGACATTTGCTTTTGGGCCTGAGAGAATCGGGCTTTTGACCTCTGTGACGTCACCCCACAACTTTGAGGTCCTTGGCTGGATGACCTTTGCCATCCCGGGCTGGGTACTGCCTGGTGGGGGTGGGGGTGCAGGGGGGGGAATGACAAAGCTGTCTACATCCTCTTCCAGGAGCGCATCTTGGTAAAGTGCGTTGCTTTTATGAATTATGGGCTTCATTTTTGGCTTTGGAGGTACGGGGGGCTTGTCAACCACAAACGCCTGCCCGTCTGCATAGACCGTGCAGGTGTCCATGCTCTCCCCACCTTCAGACGACAGGGTAGAGATGCTGGACACTGTGGAGATGGTGCTGGTTGTCTCGAGATGGTGGTCACTGCTGCTCCGGCTGTCCACCTCCTCGATCCCAGAGTCAGTGACTGCGTCAAAGCTCTCAGGGGGTGGCAGGAACGAGGTGGGCAGACAGTTTGAGAGGCTGGCTGGCTTCTTGCTATCTGTGGAGCTGGCTGGCTGGCCAGCATTCCACGAAGGGGATGGGGGCGTGTCACTTTTCTTCTGTTTTGCCAAGTCAGTGAGAGCAGGGACAGAAGCAGCACGGTCATCGGGGATATCAAAACTATTTGCAAATTCCAGGGGAGGAGGCAATGGCTCTGTAAAAATAAAATCCTCATCCAAGTCCACGGATGCCAGAGGGGGAGGAGGGATGCGGAATGGCAAAACCACTGCCTCTTCCATGGAGCCTGCCGCCACAATGGTCCTGCCAGGAGTGGTGGTGGGCTCGGGGGCAGCGGAGATCTGTAAAGCACCTTCGGTTTCAGAAACGCCTTCTGGCACTGTGGAGGGCAAGTTGTCTGGCTTTATGTCCACATCCTCTCTTTCCTCTTCCTCCTCTAAGGGGCCACCTGTCTTGGTGGCATCCACAGTATGCACCATCAGCAGGCCGGCTGTCTTCTGCTGCGCTGTGTCCACGATGTTGATCAGCATGTTCTTTTTGTCTTCACCTCTCCGGTCCTTGCTTAGGTCCAGCTCATACTTATTTTCTGTTTCCTGCCGCCGCAAGGGCCCCCGAGTATTCTGCCTGGTGACTGGAGGGAAACCAGCTTCTACACTGGGCCGCATTTTGGTATCGATGTAGAGAGGTTTGTTGAGGTCAGCCTTGGGGGCCTCCCCCTTGGGCCCTTGCTGGGACTCCTTCAGGGCTCGGTCCCTTGCAGACAGTGCCAGGGCCAGCGGAGAGCTGGGATCAAGCAGCCGTCCAGTGAGTGGATGGACATAATTCTCAGGGCTGGCTGTGCTGCTGCTTTTGGGGGGTGCTGCTGTGCTGCCTTCAGGCCCCTTGGCTTTGGATGCAGAATTGAGGGGCCTCCCAGCCTCTGCTTGAGCACCAGCCTCACCACTGCCCATAAAGTGGTTTTCGGGCTCCCGTGGTGATGCTCCTGGTGTGGGTGAAACCAGTTGCTCGGAACCATCCTCATCGCCAAACCCACCCTCCTCAGGGAACTTGGAGGGCCGCACCCGGGGGATGGGCGGGCCCAGACCCACATCCTCATCCCCTAGGTCAGTGGAGAGGAAGGCTGGGGAGTTCCTTCTGGCTTCTAACCGCTTCTCCCGGTCACGGACAGCCCCGGCAATGGCAGCCGCGAAGGGGCTGCTGACGGTCAAGCTGTCATCAGGCCGTAGCTGGCCTGGTGGCTCTGTGACCTGGGGATCAATTTCCATGCTGCTGCCCTGGCTGCTCTTGCCACTGCTGCTGGTGGAAGGCTCCTTGACAATGATGGTGGGGATAGGGATGGAGCAGGTCTTCTCGGGGCTGTCCTCCACATTGGACTGCTTCACCAGCATGCCCTTCCGCCTGGCAGGCTTGGCAGGCACATAGACAGCTTTGCTTGCGATCTTCCCTACCTCTGAGTATGGGTTCTCTGGCATCTGGCCCCGTTTCGTGCGGAAGGTTGCCTGGGGAGGGGCATTCCGACTGTAGAGGTCTTCAGAGTCCAGGGAGTAGCGATCTAGCTCTCTCCTATAGAACATCCCCTTTTCCCTCATCATGGTGGCCACTGTGTCAGATCTAGTGGCAGGAGACACCTTGGCAGCAGAATTTGGATTGAATGCGGGCTTAATCGTCCCATAGACTCTTGGAGTCGGGGACTTGGGGCAGTTGTAGGTGGTGGGGGAAGGTGGTGGTGGAGACGGGGGCACAGACTGTGGTGGAGGGGGAATATCCTCAGAGGTGTCTGGCATGGACAGGCTTCTGGTGAATTTCAGCATCGGAGGGGCCAGAAATTGTCGTTCTTCCTCTGTTATTCCTATGAGCAGAAAACAGGTTTAGTTTTAAATCGCAACAATAAGCAAAACCCTCCTAAAATTTTTAGGGTTATGCAATCCACTACATCTCAACAAACTTAGACAACATACACTTGTTATGAAACACAGCACAAGCCACAATACTGAGAGGTTAGTTCCCACTTCGAACCAAAAACAAGAAGAAAGAAGACAGGTGCACGGGGTTTTCCAGGACACATGGTACTCAGCACAAGGTCAGGGCAGCATGGTCTGATTCCAGACTGTGTGCAGCTCTCTAGGCCAAATTCTAGCTGCCCAGGCTCTTTGTGGCTGCACGTACATGTGTGTGTATATGTCGGTGCAAGTGCATTCTCATGGTGGAATGAGCTAGCTAGACCAACAGCCTGCTTTCCCTGCCCCTTTCAGACTTGCCAAGTGCTCCTGGAGGCCTGAGGTAATCACATACTTACTGGAGGGCACAGGGCGTTTGCTCACATAGTCACAGAGCCAAGGACTATGAGTACTGATGTTCCTGCCCATGTGTGCAATCAGACGTGCCACTCCTCAGTGTACTGGAATCTCTGGGCTCTTACCAGGATGACTGTGAAGGTGGCTGGCTTGGGAGAAGGGCCATTTTGGTTCTGGAACATGCCCATGTGGGGAGTGAGCCATGGTCCCTTTAGCTAATGACTTCATTCAACCCACACAGGAGCAGGACACTGAGCAGTGCTTCCAGGCAGGCCTGGTGAACTCCATGCTATCCAGACTGGACCTTCCAGATTTGGGTTGAGGGGTATGGTAGGTCACTGCAGTCAGCCAGGGCCCAGGTTCAGTTGATTTGGCACAGATCTAATCCATGTTCTGAGACATGACTAATGAAAGTACATGGATGTTGAAGATGGCTGAGGCCCTACAGTGGCTGGAGTGCAGCCTAAACATCCTCTCAGTGTGCTGACTGATGTGACTACAGACTGTGCAGCTGTCCAAAACATGAACACAGAAGCAATACACACAGTGACACAAGGACCAGGATCTCATGGGGGCATGCAGGTTTTTAGAGGCAACAAAATGAGTTATTTGAAAATTAAAAAAAAATTTCCTAAGACAAACTACAATCATTTATTCCAATGAAAACTTCCATTTGATAAGGGTATTCCAAATTTAACATACTCCTTGTGGGAGGATAATTTGGCATTGCCATGATCGGTTGCTAAAGGCATCTGCGTTGACCATTTGCTATATGTTAGTTGCCTAACATTTAAGTTCCCAAGGAGTAATAATTTAAGAATACACCTTATACAGTAAACTGGGGTACATTCAAATTACAGATTCCAAACTGGAGGCATTCACTAACCTGATAGAAAGATTCTGCTGTCTGACAGGAGGAAATCAATTGTTATTAACCAGTAAGGATGCAGTCATACAACATGGTGTGTGTGCAGCTTCGTCAGAGACCCAGAGTACGCGGGGAGTGGGCGAGCTTGACAAGCAGCAGACACCACCACGGTCACCTAATGCTCAGTTGCTGCTTACTGTCATCCTCCTGAAACCAGACCGAATGAGTCCTGCCTCCAGCAGCATTGCCAGGAAGTGGTTCCAGACACACAGAACCTTGTTCCCTGAGCAGGCTCGGCAAGGCTGGAGGGTGGGGCAGCAGCTACATGCACTTTTCAGTTTATATAGCAAGGGTTCACCATGTCTGGCAGTGGCTTTGGCTTCTAGGAGAGTTTACATGATAAAGGCAATGCTGGATTCACTCCTACAGGAACCTTCTGAAGGGGTCCAGTTTACCTAGGCCTGTTACGGAGTCTGTGGGAATGACTAGGATGTTACAAAGAAGGTAAGCCATTTTCTACAACATAGAGTACACTATTTCATTAGAGTTCAAGAACCTGACCCAGCCACCCGGAGAAGTATGTCCGTTGAGCTCATCCTACAAATTTAGGACTGTAGGGAGTCCACTCACCCTGTCCCTCCATCCTCCCCTCATTGTCCTCCTGACATGTGGTCCCCTTTACCACATTGGTATTGTCCCAAACAAACTGGCTTCAGAATTGGAGAACCCACACTGGATTTTGTATTCATTGGAGTAGAAAGGTTCATACCCTCCTATCTTCAAATGGCTACCCAGCAGGCAAGGTTAGGTGCCTGCTATTTGGTGGATAGGCCTCATGGGGACTGGCAGGGCAAGGATGCCAGGGCAACCTGGGGGGGGGGGGCAGAGGCCAGAACTCCCTAGGGGCTCTGAGGGCTGCATATGAAAGCCAAAGGGCAACTTCTTCGGGTGAAGGTCACGCTTCTTACCTATCGATTTCTGCCTTCGCATCGTACCTCGAGGGAGGCCCAGAAATGGGCCTTTTGGGCTCCCAGGAACAGTGGGTGTCATCACAGCAATCCCTTGGCGTTCATACACGGACTGTAAACCCAAAAGCCAGGGTGAGACATGGCCCTGGCCAGCCCGCTCCCATAGTGATGGCCAGAGGGCAGCAAGGGAGCTCTGGACAGAGCAGGTACTAGTCACTGGCTTCCCCCAGGATCAATATAAAGTATCCAGTGACCCCCCCCCACAGCCAGCACTGTGAACCTGGCAAGAGTCTTTCCTGAGCCTTTCCCTTTGGCACTGATAGTGAGATGCCAACAGGCCCTACTCTGAGGAGCTGTAGTCACTCTGACATCATTCACTAGACCAACTGGATAGACATATCTTTGAGAGAACAGGGCTGGGATAGAAGTCCTGTGGGAAAGAGAACAGAGCAATAGGATCTGGCTCGGGCTCACAACCTGGCTCTCCATATGCCCTGTGACTTTGGTTAAGTCCTCAAGCTAGAGCTTTTGTTTTCTTCCTCTGTAAAATAGACCAGTGTGTCCCACAGTATGCTTGAAGGTGACCAGGTACCATGCATTGTGTGGGTTGTGAGTTGTGCTGGCCAGCTCGCATAAGCTATGGATTTTTCTGGACTGTGGCATTGAGCCCATGGGAGGAAGCAGTTCCTGACCTCCTCCTCCTAGGGCCTGCTCTAGAAAGGGCTGAGAGGTCTGTGGTCCATCTTGAAGATAGACTCCCAGCATATCTCAACCTGTCCCCTCAGCCCTTCCATTGGCACTGATTTTTCTGTAGAACAGAAACTGTTGGACAATCAATGCTGTGCCACCTGCAAGGGATTCAGCAAAATTGAGATGTAGACCTTCACTGGAAATATATTTATGTGCACACTTTTATGATACTGGCATCGAGGTAGTCCTCCCCAGGGACCATAGTCTCTGTCCATCTCACCCTGTATCCTGTAAAGGGAGGGAAGCCAGCCTGACTCCTGGAAGGTCAAAGGCATCTACCCCACAGGGCCAGTCGGGTTGGGACTGTCTGGGACTATGTGGGGCATGTGTTGGTATGTCAAGGAATAGGGGTGCTACTTTGTGAAGTTCTGGAGGTGAGGGATAAAGGCTGAAGTGAACATTTGGTTTTGAATTCAATTAATGATTGTGTTTATTTTAATATCTGTTATATAACTCTTGAGTCAAAACTATGATATTTGTGGGTTATATTGTTTAAAAAGGCTGTATTAAACTGAGCCAATTTGAAATTGGACCAAAGAAAATATTAAGCTAAGTAACCATAACAGTAATGCTTGGGCCTGGCTCCAGGCACCAAGAGGGGCACTGATGGCTGGCTGCTTATGGGAAAATAAAAAGTAACCCAGAGGTGTAAGGGGCCTTGATTCTGCCAGGACATGCTAGGGGCAGAGTATGAGCATCATCTGCCTTTTCCCTAGCTGAGGATCACTCCTGATGGTCTGGGGAAGGAGGCACTGTATGTGTACCTGACCTGAGCCCAGTCTCAATCTTGGTTAAATGTTTCTGTGGGATCACGGCCTGCAATGCTGGCCAGATAGCCTTTTTGATCCTGGAGTAATGAGGAGCCCAGATCCTTCTGTCTGAGGTGTACTCCCAAAGTCCTTTATGTCCACAGTTCACAGAACTTCAGCTGAGCATATTAAGTGCCCTGAAGACTCAGGGGACTGAGTAGTTGAGCTGAGAGTGCAGGACGAATGAGGCTTGGGCTCCAGCTGGTCTGTGTCCATACTGCAGGTCTGCACTGAGTATTCATCCTGTGACTCCTTGAATTTGGCTCTGAGCTTACACAGTGAGACAGCATGGACATCCATGTACCCTTGTTGAGCCCTATCTGACTCCTTCCCAGTCCATCCCAGGCCTTGACCCCACAGTCCCAGGGGCACAGCTACTCACATTCATATCTGAGACCGCTGGAAAACACCTGCTCGTAGGCCGCTGCTTGATGGTTGCCACTCTCGACTCCACGGCCACATTCTCAGCAGTCCGGGAAGGTTTTGGGGCCGGAACTATCTCTTCTGGTTTATCTGAAACATGACCATGGGGGTTAGAGTGACCGTAGCACAATCAGGAGGGTGAGTGTAGTTAGCAGAGTGCAGAAGTACAGCGATCGCTCCAGTGCCTGAAATTGCAGGTGGGCCCATCAGATAGGGAACATGCATGCATCTCTCCTTGTCCCATGCATTCCTGCCAGAGCTCTTTTAGTCCCTCAGACCTGTAGCCCTAGGGTACCCAAGACACAGATGGCCTAAAGACTCAACAACTCAGCCTCCTCCATGGGCAGCACTGTGCCTCCAGGGCTCTAGAGCTCTGTATGACCTTTCTTCAGAGCCTGACTTTATTCTCACTAGTGGAAAGTATCCTTTTTGGTATTAACTAACTTTTGTCACTCTTAAAAGTGACGCTGAATCATGGTTACCTTTTGTAACTTTATGCAGTTTTCAAGGCTGGAATTGCACCTAAGTTGGGGGCTTTGATAATGTGCACCTAGGAAGTCAGGGTGGGTGCCAGAAGCCCCAGTTTAGCACATGTTGTATAAGGAAGTTCCTGTTACTCTCCCCACCGTAGAATATCTCCATTTTTTCATGAAAAAGAACGCCCAAGACTTAAGCAGCCCTTAGAAATTAGAAATGTTTAAAAAAGGAAATTTAAAATATATTCATTTTAAAACTGAAATGCATCCTAGAGCAGGCCTGATGCCTGGCTTTGCCTCTGGGAGATCTGAGATCAGATAAAAGGGCCCTTCTCAGGGTTTTGGAGCACAGGGTCCCTGTTCACTGAGGTATACAATGCCCTTAGCCCCACCTTATGTACTTGAGAAGAGCACTAGCTGACCCCAGTTAGCCATTCATGCTCCTCATGAATACTCTGGGCAGGATGAGGCAGGTACAGGAGCAGTAGTCCATTCAGAACATTCTATGAGCCCTGAGACCTTTCAGCAACTCTAGCCTGTTCCTGAACTCTGGTGGCTCCCTCTGAAGTGACTGCCAGGTGAGCAAGTCATGTCTCCAAGTTGTTTCTTAGGATAGTACTATGGTAGCCACTTGCAGAGGTGGCTTAAGAGAAGCTATGCTCTGGCAGCCTTGCCTAGCATTGCAGCACTGATCATAGAAGTCCAAGATGAAAGCACCAACGTCTAAGAAGGTGGGCCAGATTCAACGGCTCCATACCCGTACACACCCACCACTCTGCACCCAGGCAGGTCAGCGAGAGGGAAGGGAATGTTTCAGGGTGGAACTGACTGGCACATGTCATGATTTCTGGACCTCTCAGAGTAGCCAATACCCTCGTAACTCTGACTTGATGGAAGATGGCTAATTCCAAACAGGGTGCCAGATTCCAAGGGTCCATAAGTAATTGGTGCAGGCTACATCCTAATCTTCCCAGCTCACACACATGTCCTTAGCCTCAGAGCTGTTTTAAGATTTGTAGAGATGTGAAAAGAAGAGGAAGAATGTGCAAGAGACCACATGATCTGCAGAGCTCAAATGGTCACTGGCCCTTTAGGGGGAGTTTTGCCACCCTGCTCTGCACCATTGTCCTGGTTTACTTGCTAGTAGGATGTTATATAAATTATGCAGAGCATGGAAGACTTTAATCTGTTCTTTAATGGCCCCACCCCAGTGAGACTAGCAAGTGCTCTCAGGTTCCTGCTTCCTTCACTCTCATCCAGCTGACTAGCTTGCAGACTCACCCAGCCCCTCTGTGCATGCCTCTCACAGTGTTCTCTCTGTATCTTTGGGAAGCATAGGTTTCTCCTTGTGCATGGTGAGCACCTGCCCCTATGGGACTGCTAAGGTATAGTAAGAAATGCCCAACCTTGTTGGTGTTGGCTGTGTGGACACCTTCACCTGTGTCTATGGCCCTCATCCTCATCCTCCAGGATCCATCTCTTCTTGCTGGAGCATCTACTGCCTGACATTTCTTCCTCACATGCTGCCATCTTAGCCAGCTGCCTCCTCTGAGAAACCTTCCCTTTGCAAGTCTGGACTGGGACTCATATGTCCTTTGATGGCTGATACTGAACATAGGTTTCTTCTGCCACCACCATACCTGTTTGCTGGGTCTCACTCCCCCTTAATTTATGGATCCTCCTCTAATGAGCCAACCCAGGGCACACTGGTCCAAGTTGGACTGTTCCTAGAATACAGGCCCCTTGACACTAGCTCTTTGGCTTTGCTTCAGCTGTGATATGGTTGCTAGTGGCCCAAGAATGACTTCCTCCAAGACAGGGGCCAAAATCTTTCTAGAATCAGGATGCTATATCCTGCCACTGCAGTGAGACCCAGGACAGAACCTCACATAGTGCCGAGAGCTCCCAGCTCTTTTCCGTGCTTCTGGCCCTGGCCCCTCTTCTGCCTCTTGAGGAGGGTGAGGTTTGGGGAACCTAGCAACCTAAGCACCCCTAATGTGAACCCAGAGGGCATGTACCAAAATAGGGAGGAGTGACTTGATCCCCACAAAATATTGTGGGTCCTTCCAGGTGGACGGCTGTGGGGCAGCTAAAGAACCCAGCTACCTCCCTTCAGCACACATTGTTGTAAGATGCATAGGGCCATGGCCCTATTGGGAAGGCCTTGGATATGGGAGTCTGGTGGCCAAGGCTTGCTTTGTGGGGGATATGTCTGGCACACTGTGGATGAGGGACCCACCAGGAGAAACTCTCCTGTGACTGAATTGAGGTGCTGTGTCTCAGAGGAGTTTGGTTCTGTCTTCTAGAAGCTGTGAATCTGTTTCTTTGGGATTAAGCCCTGGAACTGATAGGGTGGGCTCGTGCCCACTTACAACACTGGAGGTTATTTGGTCCAGAATCCTGGGGCACACCCTGGACTTTTCATGTGCCCTAAAGGAGCAGGATGTGATCTGAGGGTTGCAAGGCCTGTGGCAGTCACCCAAAAAAATATGCCCAAAAGATGGGCATGCCTAGGTTGAGTCAACAGTGTTATGGTTAATAACAGCAGTCCTTGACTCTGGTAGGAAATTCAGCTCCTCATCCTATTTCTTTTCAGAAATAAGCTGGCTATAAGCTGGGAAGGGAATAAGAGGAGGGATTCCATTTCACGGAGGAAACAGTTTGAGGGTCAGAGATGCTTCAGGTCCAGGTGGGGACCATGGGACCAGGCAGCAGCTTGAGCTCAAGTAAAGTTCACCTGGTCCTGCCTGCTATCCAAATGCGTGCCTAGATCTTTTGGGCAATGACAGCAAAAAATTTATTTGAAAATCTCTCATAAGAATGATCTGCTTTACCTAGCTGATTGGAAAACACTGTGGGAGGGCCCATGAAGTCAGGGCACCATCACCTATGTCAGGATGGCTGGCGTGATCATGTCATGGGAGGTGCATCCCTGGGAACCACGGCAACCTTGAATGTGGGCCATCCTGGTCCCTGTTTAAACCTTGTGTGTTCTGGCTTCACCCCCACCTCTCAGAATAATGACAGCAACCTGGTTTATGGAGGTGGTAAGGCCAGGGCTACTGTTCCCTTGAAAGTTTGTATTGTCAGTGTGATTCAGATAAGTAGAGGGAAAACCCCACCCCCTGATTTGCTAACCAATGGCAGCTGTGGTCTGACCACTGTGTGTGTGGGGGGGGTCCCATCTTTGAGATCTTGTTTACTGGAACATGAAGACCTTTAAGAAATTCATGAGACTGCAGATTCCTCTTTCCCATTATGTGCTGGCTGGCTCGTGAGGATTAGGCTTGATTTACAAAAGCTGGGAACTGGGTATCTATTCAAGGACTGGATGAAGAGGATTATTGAGTCCAGCCCCCTGCAGTGATAAAATGAAGTACTTGGTAACTGAAAACAATCCTGTAGACAGATTTGAAAACTGTCAAATCTTAAGAAAAACAATGAGCTGATGAATGCTCCAGCACTGACCCATGCTTTAATTGTCTAAGCAAACTTAGGATCTTTTTAAAAGACAGATGTGCTGCTGTCGGGCCATAAATTGTAAACTTCTGGGTGCAAGGAAGAGTGGCTTGGGAGGGAGATGGTGTGCTCATCAAGCTGATTGGGATGTACAGCCACATTTCTCAGTGAGGAAGCACAGCCTGCTCTGCCAGTCACTGGATCTCCCAGCCTGTGAACTGTCTGGGCTTCAGGTGAACTTCATAAATTGCCGGAGGGAGTACAGCCCCTCATGTTGGAGAAAACCTGCTGCTGTTTTGTGTTCACTGAGCTGATGTTGTAGGCTTTGTGGGACAGAGCCTGCAGACTCTGGGGGAAGCAACCCTAACCACCACAGCAAAGAGAGAGGCATGGAACCACAGGCTCCTGTAGCCCTGCTGACCAAGCCTCTTGATTCCCCAAGTAGAGAAGAGGAGCCCCACCATGGCTGTATTAAATGGCACTGTGTCTCTTCTCATGTGTACCTTAACCACAGGTGCTGCTCCCTATGCCGGGCAGCATCCCACACCCAGCTCAGGGTGAGAGAGTACAGTGTAGCCTTCCTCTGTGGCACTACTTCTAGGAGGAAAACAAAACACCATGCACGTGACAAGATGCCTCTGGTTTGCTCTCCCAAAAGGCAGTCAAGGAGCTGGAGAGGTAGTCTGGGCCCTGGAGAGCCTGCAGGTGCCAAAAATCCACACACCTTCCCAGGAATATTGGCTGCGGGTGCAGTCAGAGGTTCCTAGCAGGGCTGGAAGTCATGTTCCCTTCACAACTGCCTCTCCTCCCCTTGTCAGCTTCGCTTCTGCTTCCACCAGAGCCTCCCTGGTGGTTGTGTGTCCAGGGCTCAGATGGCAGTCATGTTTGCCTGTGTGTAGTCTCTAGATATATCTGTGAAAAGCCAGGATTAGCAAGCAAGCACCATGCCTTGGGGAGAGCTGGGAGTTGAGGCTGCTTCACTTTTGCAGGAATCTCTTAACACTGCAAAAACAAGCCACAAACAAGATGGCTCAAAAGGACAGACATTTATCCTCTCAGTTTTGGGGGCTGGAAGTCTGTGGTCAAGGTGTGGGGCAGAACTTGAGTTGACAGGACATAACAGGTTACGCTGGTCCTCCCAAAGAGATGGAGCCATCCTTGTGCACCTGCTGTAAGGCATGGTCCCCAGTGTACAGATAGGAGCCAAAGCTTTAGGCTGGTAGGGGCCATGGCATGGGAGCCCACACAACATTCCAAGGTCCTTGAGGGTGTTCTTCAGTTCTCTAGGCCCCAGAGCTGGGCTGGGCCTTAGCTGCTGAGCCTTTTGGGACCTTCATGCTCATACCTTCATCTCCTGTTCTAGCCTGGGGTGTGTGTGTGGGGGGGGGGATTTAATCTGTAAGCAGATTTCTCTGATCAAATAGAAGGTAGATGTCCACTGTCCAGGACTCTTGCCTATCCTCAGTGAGGGGGGCTGTGCAGACCATGACTCCTATCCTGTGGATCCTCCAGCAGAGTCTACAGGAGTTACCCACTGAGGCTTCACTGCCCTGGGTCCTGAACCCTTATTGACTGAGGTCTGTTCTTAGCCAACTGTGAGATGCCTGGGTCTTTGGGAGCTTATGGTGGTGTTCCTTCGTTGGCAGGGCAAGGAGTCATGTAAAAGAGTAGCCTCAGGACCCTCAGAAAAAAGGATGTCCTGTGTCTGGGCATCCTTGTTGCTCTCAACACAGAGAAGACCCTAGAAAGCCTGTGCTGAGAATCCTAGGCAGCCTGGCATGATATGAAGGCCTAGGTTGCTACAGGAAAACTGCTGGTACTGAGGGGTCAAAGAGGAGCGGGGAGGCCATAGAGGCTCTGCTTTCTGCTTTAAGGAGCCCTGTCCTTCCCTCATATTGGCCCTGTGGTCTCTAGTACCCACTACTGGCCTCATTTCAGTGACCTCCCAGTTACTGCTGCATCTATGGCATGCCTTGGGCATGGTGCCTACAGCCCAAGTAAAACGTGGTTTGAATTGGGAGTGCTGCTTGTAATTGTTCTCAAGAAGGGGTCATTCAGTATACTAGAAAGTGCTTTCTTAACCATCTGCAGCAGTCAGGTGAGAAACATCCAAGATGTGGGTACTGCTGCACAAGGAAAGGGCTCTGTTCTCAGGGTACATGTGGGCCTTGTCTCATGGCTGCTCACAGCCACACCATTGCTGCCCTCCCATCTCACAACATAGTGGATCAGAAGGCCCCAGCTCCTCCTATTGCCAGCACAAGGGAAAGTTTCAGTATGTTGAAAGGGGCAGTATTTAGTTACTAAAAAAGGAATGCTGGGTCAGGAGCAGCCAGGGGCTCCTGTGCCTATACTGACTGGCAGCCCAGGTGACCTAGTCTCTGGTCAACTTCATTGGGAGTGCCAAGACCTCTACGTAGCCATGGCAGGTCCAGCTGTGACCACCAAAGGGCTTGCAGTAGCTTCACGGTCATACTGACACGACACAGCTCAGGGGAAAATACTGGACACGTCAGGGGGGGTAACAGACAGAAGTCAAGCAGACCGAACAGAGCAAAATGGGACATGTTCCAGGATTAGGGTCCTTAGGCAAGACCCCAAAACAGGAAGAAGACACAAGATTCATGATACATTCTACACTTCACTCGACGGTCACAAGAGGGTTTCTCTTCTACTGGGGTTTGACGCGCAAGAGAACTGGAGACAGACATTTGGGCTTCCCTTACCCTTCTTCTTCCGGACTGCAGCTTGCAAACAGAAAGGGAAGTGCTGTGAGCCACTAGACAGCAGCCTGCAGCCTACACCTGGGGCCTTGCCCAGCTCAGGACAGCCATGGGAAATAGGATGGGACCCAGGACTGGGGACACTAAAGAGCTACAGATGCAGCTTTCCCAGAACTGAATCTGGGTTTTCTCTTCCTTACTTGCCCTGCTTGTGAAGCACCTTCCTAATGGTAGAAGGGCACTTTCCTTCTTGAGTCATACCCCCTGATCCCACCAGCACCTGGCAAAGTGGGAAGTGAACTTCAGGAAGGCAGGTGTAAAATACAAGTCAGCCTGTGGTGGGTTAACACCTGAGCCCCTGAGCAGCTCTGAGGTCTCAAGACACCCTGCAGTGGTGCTCCTTAAAGATGAACTGCTTGTTGTCCCTCTTGAGAGTCCCACAGTAAACCCTGGGAAATCGAGCGTCAACTCGCTGTCAGCATTCCTGCTTTCCTTTCCTATAAGGTACGGCTCCTGAGGATGCTGTTGGGGTTCTCCAGCAAATTGAAAGGATAATATGAAGATGGTGAAGTATAGGATAAAAGGAGAAATCTAGGACAGGGGTGCCCTTTTCTAAAGGACTAACGCTGTGTGCTGAGCCCCAGAATGCAATGAGAGATGGCCCGGCCAACCTCAGTATTCTGGGCCCAGAAGGATGGTCATGGTTTGCTAGACCCCCTCCCACGGGAGAGCAAAGAGGAAGGCTCCTTCTGTGTTTGACGATTCTTTTTGGTAGGCAGAACCCAAAGGTCTCCAGTGGAAGGCTGGTGTAAGCTGAGAGGGAAGTCCAGGCAAGTTGCCAATAAGAGGCACTCAACTTTCAGCCTGCTGGGCCAGGAGCTCAGGTTTGCTTCTGTGCCCACATTACTTGCCCTCACTAGCCCTGTTCCTGCTGTCGGTGTGGCAAACATTTCCACCCCCTTACCACCCTGACGTTCAGAGCTACTCTTCTGAGAAGTCTCTGGACTCCCTGAAGAGTCCTTATGGCATTTAGCAGCATCTAGGAGGTTAGCTCCAAAGTTCCCTTTTTTTTTTTTTTTTTTTTTTTTTTGGTCTTTTTTGTTTTTACCGGTACCGGGGATCAAACTCATGACTGCCTGCTTGCAAGGCAGGCACTTATGCCACTGAGCTAAATCCCCAGCCCCTGAAGTTCCCTTTTGAATGGTCGCCATGGTGCCCCTGGCTACTAGTCACCCTTACCCAGTCTGCAGGACAGGGACAAATGGTCAGGAGCCTCTCTTTCTTACAGACCTCTTAAAGTGCTGGTTGCTGCCTAAACCTAGTGTGCCAGTTCCAATGCCATCTATGCCAAGGCTCCAAGTGCTAGAGCCTTAAGGTCTGAGCTTGCCTGCCTGCATCAGGAAGCATCTTGCACAGGCCTCCAAGGCTGAGCCAAGGCAGTGGTCAGTGGGGGTGCCCTAGACAGCAGGGTAGCTGCTGTCAGGATCCTGGGGTCTGCTTACCTTTGTCCACTAGTGAGAGGCCCAAAAATTCAAAACAAAACAATGTTAGACAAACAGGAAAGAGTAAAGACACCCACAGGCTCCCGAGGGTGATGCAAAATGTGTAAATGCCCAGCCATGCAGGGCAGGGAGAGGGCACAGTGTCACTAAGGAGACAAGCAAGCCAGCAAGGGGCCATGCATGGGCTGAGGCTCACGGGGGCAGCACAAGCTGGGTAGGTTGGATGGGGGCTCTTACCGAGCTCCTCTAGCTCTGCGGTCATGGACTTGGAGCGCAGGGTGAGGGCTGTGGTTGGTGCTCGCTTCGGAGGTGGGGGAGCTTGATGGACAAACAGAGACAGTAATGAGAACTGTGGCAAGGCCCTGTACTGTGCGCGTACTTCCCACATTTCCAGACAAGGGAATAACAGACGTAAGGGTAGTAGCCGTCTGGCTGGAGTTTTGTGGGGAAGGCTGGCAGGTAGGAAGGCAGGCGTGCCTGTGGGTGAGTCATGTGTCAGGGAGGTTCCGTGGGCTGAAACTGTTGGGGCCATGTGGGTTTGCTTAAGATAGAGAAAGACAGGCACTTGGCCGGGGGAGGGAGGGGAAGAGGGAGCCCTGTCTAGCTGGTCTACATGGAGTCTGTTGGGACTAATGGGGCATGGCTGATGGGCCACAGATAGCTCTGCCAGTCTGCTAGTCTTCAGCTCTTAGCTACCACTGCCAGGCTGGGCAAGCCCCCTCACCCCATCACATATACAAAGGTTTTTTTTCTCAGCAGATGCTGTTTTTTGTGTTTTGTTTTTGTCTTTTTCGTTTTTTAATCGGTACCAGGGATCGAACTCACGACTGCCTGCTTGCAAGGTAGGCGTTTATGCTGCTGAGCTAAATCCCCAGCCCCTGTTTTTTGTTTTTACAGGAAGCTGGAGACTGCCCTCTTGAGGGAGCTAGAGGAGTTCCCAGGGAGAGACCACTCTGGCCTTTCTGTCTCCAGCTCCCTCCTCCAGACACCCTTCCTATGCTGTGCTCTGGTTTATCACTCTGTGCATCTTTTCCAAGCTCAGGCTGACCTGCTGTCACAGGATTTAGTGTCCTTGGTGCCATTGCATAGCTTTTTTTTTTTTTGTCCGTTCCAGGGATCGAACTCATGACCTAGGGCTTGCCAGACAGGTGCTTTTGCTGCGGAGCCAAATCCCCAGCCCCATAGCTGCTTTTTGTGGCTAAAAGGACTGCTGTTACCCTTCATTACTTCTTACCAATTGGACCTGTGCTTGGGTGGGAGGATGGCTCTGGGTCAGTGTTATGTTTGTGGTGGCCAATTCTAGCCCCAAGCCATCTCTGGGCTTCAGCTAAAGACAATGTGCCATCTACTCCACAGTGGGCCCTACCCATGTCCCTTGCAAGGAGTCTTGAGGGGCACGTACCTTTCTTCCTCGCGGTGTCATCAGGGTCCAAATTCCTGGTCACCGTGACGACCTTAAGGATGAGGTGATTCCCTCCCTGGCGGATCATGTTTACCACCTGCCTGTGGCCGACTTTGACAACATTCTCATTGTTAACCTGCAGGAAGATGAGGACAGATCAGTGACTAGGTCAGCAGGAAGTGCTGCAGTGCTGCACTTGCAGGGCAGCCTGAGGGCACAAGTGGTCTTCCGAATCCAGGAGCCAGCACAGGGTATGAGAGGAAGACCTTGGGGGGACAAAGGAAGCAAAGGTGCTTCTGAGAAAACCAGAATGCTGCCATGGCTGGACAGGTCACTTAGCTGTGCCCAGGGAGGCCTGTACCGTATAGCTAGCACCTCTATCTGCCCAACGCCCTTGCTCAGCCAGGACTCTGCAGCTGCTGGGCATGACCTTACCTGAGTGCTCTCAGTGCTCACTCTTGTGGGCCTGGAGCAGTTCTCCCAGCCAGTGGCTCTGTGAGGAAACCCAAGTGGTTTCCAGGTCAGGGCCAAGCGACAGCTTCTCCTTTTCATAGTGAAGAGAAAACATGTCCCTTAATTGCTTCGCACGCATTTTGGGACCACATCATATGGATGTGGCCAGTTTCCTCTGGAGTTTTCTGCCTTTTACCTGTAGGCCCAAGATGAGATGACATGAACAGTGGTGGCAAATCTGTGGCACATGTGCTACAAGTGGGTTATTTGTTATTCAAAGCTCTAAAAGATTCACCATCAGTGGCATAAAAGCTTGGCTCAACAAGATACTAAGAAGGAGGGAAAGTTTGCTGGAGCTCCTAGGATCCTGGGTCATGTGCTTGGATCACGATGCTGCTTCCACATGGGCACTGTGCCACTGTTCAGGCGCCCTGGTCCTTTCTGAGCTGCTCCCTCCCACAATCTCTGGAGGATGGAAACTAAGACAGACTTGGGGACACTGGGTTCCAACCTCCAGGCCTCAGTCCTTCACATCAAACAGAGTACAGAGCCTCCTTTTTGTATCTAGTACCCAAGGGAACTTGCTGCTGCCGAGAATGACATCCCTGCCTTGCCTGCCTACCACATACATGACCCAGTTGCAATTTTCAAACATGGCTATGGAGATGCCCAGCTCACTGTACCTTGACAGCTCAGTACATGTCCTGTAGTTCTGCTGCCTGGACTGCCACATGTTGGCTTTAGCTGGGAAGTATGGAAAATGAGCCCACTGCACAGTGAAGTTTAAGACCAGTTCCCGCACTCCTACTGAAACCTGTTCCTTGGCAGCTGCCAGCCACCACATTGCTATACTATACTTGGTTTTACTGTGGATTCTTTAAAATTTTAAACAATGTATCTTCAAACAGAAGATACATTGTAGTACATTGTAGATACATTGAAGTACCTGGTGCATTACTTGGTGAATTGTCACAAATCTAACACCCTGAGTATCCAGATCCAGAAGAGAGGCATGAGGTAGCTGCCTCCCCACAGAGGGGTCATAGTTGCCATGTGTCATGGTTTATGTTTGTGTCCCCCAGGCCTCATGAGTTTGCATTGTTCATATGTGATGGTTCATTGTATAGTGCTTGGATTGATGGTGTCAGTGCTCCACCCACATAGGGGTGGAGCCAGGATGCGATGTCATGGCAGGAAGAAGGTATGTTTTTCTCTTTGCTGGTTTGAGTTTGCTGCTGGCGGCCGCCATGAACTGCAGCCCAGCCATGCCTGCCTGTCTTGGAGACAACTGAGTGTGGACTGAAACCTCCAAACACTGTAAGAAATAAACCTTTCCTTTCCCAACTTGAGCATCAGGTATTTTGTCTCAGCGACGAGCATAAAGTAACTAAGACAGAAATTTGGTACCGAGGAGTGGGGTCGTTTGCTATGACTATACCTCGCCATGTTTTTCAAGAGGCTTTGGAAATGGCTTATGGGCCGAGTTTGGAAAGGTTTGGACATGTGGCCTGGATGCATAGTGCTGGAGCAGCTTAGGCTGTTCTGTAGAGGAGATTCTGGTCAGAGCTTAAGAGACCAGAAAGCTGATAGAAAGCCTGATGGTAAAGACCAGGCTTGGGAGGTTTCTGCTGGAAAGGACTGCATTGGTTGTTGGACTCCACATGATGTGTGTTATGGCTTGGCAGAAAGTTTGTCTGCATTTTGCTCCTGCCCAGAGACTTTGCCTGAGACGACACAAAGGGCAATGGACTGATTAATCTTGAAAAAGAAATTAAAAAGCAATCAAACATTGAGGCTGTGGCATGGCTATTGTTGGGGGCTTTTAGCCAGCTTTATGTTTCAAATCAGGAGCAAAGAGCCCAGCAGGATAATTTCCAATACTGTGAGTTTGGCCCAAAGGAAGATTCCAGGAAGGGTGTGGATTGTAAAGACAGAGTTGAGATTTTGATTCCTAAGGAGAAACAGAGAGATAAGAAAGACAGCCCCGGGGCATCCCAGGAAGCAGGTCCCCACCCTGTGCAGCCTCATAGCAAAGATGAAGAGTGCCATGCTCCAGAATGGCGACAGAGGCCACGTGAGGTTCCAGAATGGCGACAACACAGAGAAGCTTTTCATCACAATCAGGTAAACAGAGCCCTGCGATCCAGGCAACTGACCCCTACAGCCAAAAGAGAGAAAAGCCTGGCCACTGCTTCAGCTAGCAGCAAACCTTGGCGGCATCCACAAGGTGCTGATTTTAGGTGCAAGGAAAATGCACGAATTCTGAGGGTAAGACGGCTTCCACCTGGATTGCAAAGGGCCTGGGAGGCCAAGCAGTGTACCCCTGAGAGGGCAATTTGTGAAGATGTAAGTGTGAAGCCGAAGGTACAGTGGAGACCCCAGAAGTTTGGAAAAGCCAGGAATGTGGATGATCCAAGGAAAGCTGCAAAAATCAAGCAGAGAGGATTTAAGAGAAAAGCTGCGAGAGTTGAAATCACTGGAAGTGCCCTGGGGGGTGGAATCACCCAAGGCTTTTGGAACTTGCAACCAGATTGCTTCAGATGCTGAGTGTAGAACTCTAGGACTTAATGTTTGCCCTGCTGGATGTTGGAATTGCTTTGTTTCGAATGCTTTCTATTCTCCTGTTTTTAACTTTTGGAATGGTAATGTTTATCTTGTGCCTTTGCATTTCAGAAATGTTTAACCTTGTTTCTTTTGTACAGGGGCTTAAAGTTAAGAGTTTGCCATAGATCTTGGAGGAGACTTGGGACTTGGACTTTTCAGCAATGTTGAAGCTGTTAGGACTTTGGCAACTCTTGGAGGTGGACTAAATGTCTTTTGTATAAAGGATGTACATGAGTCCTGGGGGCCAGGGGTGGAATGTCATGGTTTATGTTTGTGTCCCCCAGGCCTCATGAGTTTGCATTGTTCATATGTGATGGTTCATTGTATAGTGCTTGGATTGATGGTGTCAGTGTTCCACCCACATAGGGGTGGAGCCAGGATGCGATGTCATGGCAGGAAGAAGGTGTGTTTTTCTCTTTGCTGGTTCGAGTTTGCTGCTGGCAGCCGCCATGAACTGCAGCCCAGCCATGCCTGCCTGTCTTGGAGACAACTGAGTGTGGACTGAAACCTCCAAACACTGTAAGAAATAAACCTTTCCTTTCCCAACTTGAGCATCAGGTATTTTGTCTCAGCGATGAGCATAAAGTAACTAAGACACCATGGCTGCTGCTTTGTCATCTCCCCACTTGAGAGACCAGCTGGTTCATCCTGGATGGTATGATTTCTTCCCTGGGTGTCCTGTCTTAGGAGCCCCTCATCCCTGGAGAAGGATCATTTACATGAAGAGAGCATGGTGTTTGCAAAGTGACTCTGGTAGCTCCCCCTTTCCTACTTGCTTGATACATAGCTGGAAAAGCAGGTTAATTTAGGAAGTAGGAAGGGCTGGTGGAAGAGAGCAGTGGGGAGCTCTCCAGGGGTGAGAACAACCAGCCCAACTTGGCCACACTTACTGCCCAGACTGTCCTAGCTTAGAGACAGATGGACCATAGGCTGTAGACTGTGGCTGCTCTGTCAGTCCTATCAGCCCTCCCTCGGTTCCCTGTCTTCACACCAGAACAGTGACCAGCACTCAGGAACTCATTGTTTTGTTTGTGTCCCCTCGGTGCTTTTGTTCTGCATGCCCATTGAAAGCTGGGAGGTACAGGGGTGATTTCAACACACAATCTGTCCCTGCCATCCAGAGCTTGTGTTCTCATGGGGAAGTCACTGGACCCCAAGTAAGTGAGCAAACTGTAATGTTAGGTGTATCGAGTACCACCTTAGAACACAGAGAACTGCAGAAAAGGGGTTGGGTGCCATGTAAAGGGTCAGGCAAGGCTGCATGAGGAATGACAGGGAGGTCATTCTATCACATCCTTTGAGGAGAAATTTGATATGTCTGCAGAACTGCAGGATGACCTGTTGGCCAGAGCAGGGCCAGCAAGGGAAGGGCAGTAGAGGGAGCTGTAGGATTCAAGTGGCTGATGGGTGAAGATAGGTTTGAACCAGGGAGTAGCAAGCTGTCTGATTCATGTTTTTGGACCATGGAACACTCTGCTTCTGGAGGGAGGTTAGAAAGGACAGCTAGCTCGGCATGGAAATAGAGTCTATTTTAGGGATAGTGGTGCAGAAGAACTTGAGGGGAGGCATGAAGTATACCAAGGTGAAGTATAGGAACCTTGCTTGGTCTCCCCTGGATCTAGGAAAGGCAGCACAAGCCTGCTCTCATTTCTGACCAGAGCTTCTGTGAGGGCAGGCATAGGCACCTAGAAGGGAGTCCTTACCTGGGCTCAGGCACCAGAGGCCAGCATTCAAATTCTTGGGGAGAAGAGCTCGTGGCAAATTAGCTGGTAGCAGAGAACGTCTAACTGCCCATCCACTACATTCCTAGGGTTGGTCCTACTTAATGCTGCATTGTGACCAGCTTGCTTGCTCAGGATGGAACCCAAATGCCAGGTGTTATGCAGGGTTCCTGCAGGGGAAGCACTATCACCTTCCATCTGCCACCCATCTGTGGGGTATCCTCTGTCTGAGGCTTAGGAAGTGCAAAGGCTGGCATTAAGCTCAGCAGTGCAGGAGAGGGCTCATGTCATTTCCTAAGGGTTCATGTATCTGGTGGGGATTCTCTATGATAAATATGAGGGCCGAGGGCCTGGCCTC